TCCATCTGTTTAGGCAACATGGCAACTTGCGTTTTGTGCTTACGTGGCCGAGTGCGTCTACGTAGCAGGTTTCACGTCTGACCCCTCAGCAACTAGCTAAGCTGCCAGGACAGATAGAAGCTGCCCGTAGATGGCCGAGTTACTGCTGACGCAGGGACACTCCGATGCGCGGTCAAAGCACTACGATACGACAAGGGTGTATCTTTATGTGGGCCAGTGTAAAACAGAACAGAAAAGAAGAATTGAATAATGCTATCATCTTGCAGGCTTAAGCTTTATGGCACTACGCACCCACGCTGCCCGAGCTCTGTCGACTCTGGCCTTGGATTTCGTGGCCTCTTCTCTAATCTTCTTGCTGGTCGGACATGGCATGGGGTGCAGTATGAAGTGGCAGGAATTTGCACGCCCAACTGCAAGCCAGGGTACCGCAGGAGGCTTAGTCGACCTTCGTCGCGTCGCTCCCGGAACGCGGCGGGACCAAGGTCCAAGTACGGATTTGCTGTCTGCGCCTTGAAGTCTTTGACATGGTCCGTTGATGCTGGCTACTGCTGCCCTGCGGAGGACGTGCAGAAACGGCGTCCTGACGCCCTTCAGATACGAGTGCCGCCCAGCCCGCAAGCAGCGAGCGCGCAGCGTCGCGCGCCGCGCAGGTCTCCGGTGTCTTGAAAATTCTAACATCCTTCAAGGCTTCCCGGAGAACTGCACCGCCCACTTCGAGCTGCCATGGCAGCCCTAGCAGATTCTGGATGATTTCGCCCAAGTCACAGCTCTTGTGCCATGTCAGGGCCTTGCCGCCTTCACCCGGCTACAACCGGTCCCTAGGCCATGTGGCTTGTGTTCGGTTGCCCTTTCCAGCAGAGAAGCTCCGACAGGCATCAACAGCCCACTTGTCGAATGGGTTCCGCCAGAAGCGAGGAGATGCATGCGTTGAGTTGTACCAGAATCAGACAGTGGTTCCCTCGTGCTTGACGATCCTCGGCTTTTGGAGCTCTGCAAACTGCAGAGGACAAGAACACCATCTGGTACCATGTGTATTCATACGACACGGCAAACACCGCATGCTTCGACACAGCAACAGAAGTAGTCTGAGTGGTTGCAGAACAGAACTTCGCGATCACCGAGTCGTGTGATTCTTGCAGGGCCAGTCCTTCTTGAAGGCTTCGTGATGTTGTGCCCGCAGCCAATTTCCCTGTTGTCGGCCTCCGTGAGCATGGAGTTTCAAAACACGCGAGACACGCTGGGGTGCCATGTCAGCAGCAGCATGGGGTAGCACTCCTGCCTCGCCAACTGTGTTTATCTCGCAGCACCACTGCGCACGGGCGGTGGGTGGGGGCTGCGCATTCCAAAACACTTGGGCATCATGGCTGAGTCGAACATTTTGGTTTCTTGACGAAGCCAGGACCTGTGCGGAAGGGCCCAGCATGTTCCACCGCGGACGCCGGCATGCCCGGAAAGAGGCAATTTGAACCCGGCCTGTGCCCTCTCTCTCCTCGAGGTTGTACAGCTCAATGCCTGCCTGGATATGCGGGGCCCTCGGCAGGTAGTGCACTTCACCTATCTGCTGCGTGTTTGCAACTTTTCAAGGAGCCGGACATACCCTTCCTTTCCTGCAACCTGGGCAACTTCAGTCGCGCTCCAAGGATCGTTCTTTAAGAGTCGTTCCAGTCGGCATGAATGGATGAATTGAGATGAAGTTATGGGCTTGGCTGTTGCGAGGCCCACCAGTGTACCAGTGTGTGGGCCAGCCCTGTCAGGTGTTGGACTCAAGGGTATACGAGCATGACTCTGCAGTGCTGCATGGAGCATCGTAGCATCGCTTCTTTGCAGGCATTGCAAGGTATTCCGGATGCTCCTGCCGCGACGTGCGAGGAAGGTGGCGATCTAGCTCATAGCTGTCACAGCTACTTGGCATTTCTACATTCATGAAACGGTTCGTGTCGAGATGGCAGGCACAGTCCTGGAGCACGGAGGGTCCTGCACCACGAAGTGCGACTATGGTCTGGGCTCCCAAAAGAAGCTGCGTGTCCCTTGAGTCTCTGACGGATTTCAGCCAGCGGACTGAAAGGCTTCGTCCCCTCCGATGCAGTGCTGAGCAACGGCCTCAGTTTGTGTATCAAGCCTACAAGGGCACGGTGCCGCCCAGAATCAGCTTCTTTCGACAGGTTGCAATGCGACGGTGCTGGATCCCGCGAACTATACTTGCATCGGCACTGCTTGCAACGTGTGGCAGCTCGGAGTTGCAACGCTTAGTTTCCGTGGAAGAAGAAGTGATTTGGCTGAGGCTCCGGCCGGTGTCGCAAACGCCCCGACCATGCCGTGCAGCTCTTGGATCCACTTTTCTCCGCTCTACCGTCTCTTTTGCCGCATGGCCACAAGAGCCAGCATGAGCCAGCCATCGTTGTCGTTGTCCATCTGATGCTGGGCATCACTGTCCCCATCACAAGCGCATTGCCGTAAATGTCACCCAAGCTGGTGTGTCGTCTCTGTGAGGTGCCTGGAGCCGCCCGAGAACCTGACTCACGGAAGCATTTGCACGACACAGTGCTTGTCAGGGTTCGTGCGCAGTGAGGATTCAGCGCTGAAAGCAGGGTCGGTTCAATGCGCCCGGCAACAGAAAGGTACCCAGCACACCGGTGCTGCACTGTTACGGAGGACAGCTGAGGCCAGCTGTGAAATTGCGCCTTTGCACAAAGTGAAAGCCGACATCAGCCGTCTCTTTCCGCAGCGCTTGACATCGAGTGCAGCCTGCATGGATGGCAGCGGCGGGGCACTGCCCTTCAAACCCTGGAAGCAGTGCTCATCCAGAATGCCACCCATGCAGGCGCAAGGAGTGAAGCGAAGCAGTCAAATGCGCAAAGTCCTGCAGCTACCATGCACCTCTCGTGTGGTGGATCTAGTGATGTCTAGTCAGAGTAGTGACCTAGTGTGTGTCTCCAGCGACCGACTTTTCAAGCGGAAAGTTGTGGCCAGGCAGTTTAACCCAAAGCGAGGGACCAGCTCGTGCCGCTTTGGTTCCACCTGCAATTTCTGTCATCATCCTGATCACAAGCGCGCCAAACATCGGGGGCAGCGAGGACCGGACAGGGCCATGAGGCACGAGTGGATACGAGCTGTCTTGCTCGGAATCGTCTGTGCTGTGGAGGACGCCACGCCGTGCAGCGCCGAGAATTCCAGGAAGAGCGGGCGGCGGCGGGAGCCCTGAGCGGGAATCCACGTCTCGTTGCCCTGGACCGCATCTACACAGAGCCGAACCAACTCGTCGAGGACGCGCGGGCGGCGATGCAGCGGACATGTGCCAAGCTGCGCGAGGCAGTGGAGCAGGAGCTGGACAAGCGGATGTGGCAAAGCGGGATGGATGCCCAGTGTTTGAGGCCCGACAGCGTGCGGATCAAGTGCTCCAATCCGAACCCAGAGTCGGATGTTTCGATTCTCCCCGACTTGAATAAAAGAAGCAAGTGGTTGACAGGAACCTTGCATCTGCTGATCAAGAAGTATCAGGACAGCACCGACAACAGTCAGTCTTCCAAGTTCGAGCTCATCGCAGAATCTGTGAGGCAGAACCTCTCAGCATTGCAGAGAGACTTCGAGCAAGTCTTGCAAGCAGTCGAGGGGCTCAGTGACCACTTGAAGAACCACAGCTGGCTGGAAGACACCGTGGCGGATCTCTTGCAGAAGGACTTCGACCTGGATGGAGTCAAGGATCTCTGCGAGCTGCTCCACTTTCTTCTCCTACCCAAAGACGGAGAACACCCTATCAAGAGTCATGCGAGGACGATGAAAGGTCTCGTGCAAGAGGTGCAGCGAATCTTGGACATGCAGAGAACCAACCTCCTCGAAGGGAGCGAGCCTGTGAGTGAAGCAGAATGATTTGGAGCAGCACGGCAGTTGGGGGACTTCACTTTGGACCTGTCTGCAACATGCGCTACTAGTAGTACTTGTAGCGCATTGAACGCATTCTCGGACTGCTTCGTGACTGTCGAGAGAAAAGTGAGCGCAGCCCCATGCTTCATATCTCCTGCGTCCTAGGACGACTCGTCCTCACTTCGAAGACAACGCAGCACCCGAAAAAGGGATTTGTGCGCTCGCCGCCTGCCGCTGCAGGCCCGCGAGCTTCGAGTGCATCGAGGCGAGCCGCGAGCCATCGCGAGCCGGCAGCGGCGCTTTCAATTTTTGCCCGTCCGAGGAGTCGGTGTGGCTCGGCTATGAGCCCTCCGACGACACCATTGCCCAGGCGTGGGCCGAAAACGTGGCCGCCGACCCGGCGCAGCAGATCACAGCACTGCCCTGCTCCATGCCTCTGTGATCCTTTCTGCCTTTATGCAGTCTATGCACTCTGGCACCGCCATGTGGAAATGTGAGATATCATGAGGCCGCCGCTGGGCTGCGTGACGGCACAGCCCTGGCCTGCTTTAAGGATGTATCTTCCCACCTCCGCGTCCTGCATTCTTTTTGAAGTCTGCGCAGGATGAGCTCAGCCTGGCCATACACTGCGTGGTTTTGCTGGCCTCCGTGACGCCAAGCCCCCACGGCCATCCACGGCCCACGGACCGTGTGCGTTTGTCTTGCAGCCGTTCGCTCGGCCAGGGCGACGCGGCAGGGCCAGTGGAGCACCCTGACTGGGCCACAGGCCCTCCACTGGCCATGCAGTGCCTCCATCAGGCCTATCACAGCTTCTGTGATGTCATCTTGAGGTGGAGGAGTTTGTCCTGGAACCCCTTACCTTGGACAAGGCGATCTCGAGCTTCCACGTCCGGCCTCTTGGCTTAGACGGCTTGGTCGTGCCTTGGTGAGGCAGTCGCGTGCTACCGAATCGCAGGCGCCGTGTGCCAGCCGGGAAGAAGCTGTCTCATGATTCTAAAGAACTCGGGGAGTCCCTTGCCTGGAGGTGGGAGCACGATGTGCCGTGCTCTGGAGCTCGTCTCCGAGTCGCTGGTGCAGGCCGGGGCCCGGCAGACGGCCCAAGACGGCGGTTGACGGAGAGTTTATGCCAAAGCGCATCATGCTCATGATGTCCATGAGGGTGCAGAAGTGCTGCTGAGTCCAGACCTTGGGTCCCGGCACAGCTCATTTGCCTTGAGAGCCGGTAACAACTCAGGCGCAGCTGAGACCTACCACATCTCGCTGGCAAGCCTGGCGGACGGGGCAGCGGTCTGCTTCCAACAAGGTGCAACGCACTTGAGTTGCCCAAGAATCCCACTCTCAGCGCAACGCTGAGGTTTGGATACCTGGCGATGCCGGCTCCTGGATGTGGGAAGCTCGAGTAGCCTCTCCATGCCTGAGCCTCGACCTGCAGAGAGAGCCCTTTGCGGCTCCCTTGTTACAAGGGTCGAGACTGTGCGACTGTCACAAGGGGGCCCGAGTTGCTCCTGCCTGGAACTCTCTCAGAGCTCGCTCGGGGCCCCACTGCTGGAGCGAGAGAGAGCGAGAGAGCGAGAGAGAGGGAGGGAGGGGCCGTGAGAGAGGTGAGTGAGAGGAGTTTTGCGGGGAGGCCTTGGCCAGTCTCGGCTCTGCGCGGCTCGTGGCCTGCGGTGCCAGCTCCGTCGAGGCGCGCACGCTCTGTATATAACTGAGAGAGGGAGGGAGAGGGAGAGAGCGGTGGCGCGTGGAAAGCGTTTTCAGGGATGTGTGTTTCTGCTGGCGCAGGGCCGTTCCTACTGCCACCTCCTCGAGGTCTCAGGCCTTTTCTCGAAGTCCGGGCGAACGCGGACTTACCTGCCGCCCCTGCAGCTTGAGGCTCCATGCTGAGCAACATCAGCTCCGTGCAGGTAAGCACCGAGGCACCCAGCAAAAATTCCTGTTAATGAGGGCCAAGGGGGCCAGGATCATTGCGGGAGGCTGCATTTCTCGTCGCGACCCACCTCACCTCGCCGAGCGACGCCGCGGGGGCCCACGGGGGCCCACGGCCCGGGGCGGGTTTTTGCGTCTGTCGCACTGCGCTGAAGCCCAGGTCCTCCTCTGCTTCTCGGACTGGAGCTCCGTGAGCGCGGTCGGCAGCTTTGACCGATCTGCTCTCCTCGTTGCCTCCGTTTCCGTCGTCACTCCATGGGTTCTCAAGCCGGTTACGGACGGTGTAGCGTTCCGACTGAGGTGTGCAAGATGCTTGAAGCGAGCGGTGATACACTTGTCTGCAGCCGAGCCTGTTCTACCTCCCCCTGCGGTCACAGACATGCGATGGCACAGCAGGGTGAGTAGAGATGAGGTGGAGGCGGGGAACGTTACAGTAGACCACGGTGCCTTGTTCTTAGCATTCCGGCCCGACAGATTCGAAGCCACATACGACTTGCCACTTGCAAAAGGTCACTCGCTACCTGAGCGTTGGTGCCGTGTCTGCCAGCCGTGCTCCACCCAGCATTCCCAAAACAAGTGTTGAACTTGGAAGACCCGATTGTGGCGGGGGATGGGGCAGATAATGTGGGTTGAAAAATGGTACTCGTGCGAGGCGCTCTGCTCTGTATGGAACGCCAGGCACCTCTGCGCTGCCGGCATAGAGGGAAGAATACGCAGATAAGATCTTGGGCAGGGCCCTTTGCTGGAACACTGTATGGATCGACGTCTTCAGTGCGAAGACTGGGCTGCAGCCGGAGAGTGTGGCACCGAGGGGTGGCTTTGCTGAGACTGTAGCGCAGCTTTTGCTGCGAGCCGAGGTGCGGCTTCAACCCGAAGTTCATGTTCGACCTGTGCCCTTCTGCCCCCCCAAAATCCCTTTCCCCCTGCTCACCCCTTCGCCATGCTTCAGTTAGGTGATACCTTGCCCATTTAGGTGTATGGCACCACCAGTCCCCCCCCCTATAATAACATCTATCT